GAAAAACAGAACAGAAATTCAAAACACTTTTGATCACAAGCATTTTGGATAAGGAATACTCAACCTGTATTGCTATTTGGCTGTCAGTCTAAGGTAAAGCACTTTTCCATCAGGGAAAAGAAGGAAAAAGAAGCTACTGGCTAGCCTGACCCTGCTCTCGTAGTTCCACACATTTCACTACTGTGATCCCGAAAATGTTGAGATGACATTGGTTCCACCAAAGGTAGAGTGTATTAGTGGAAATACCAGGTAAAAACAACTATCCAACATTCTTGTCTCACCCCACTCCACAGACAAAACCATGGCTTCCCATAGGCCCTCTGAAGCAGAATGACACAAGGCAAATATTTTCTTTATTAAAAGAAAATTGTTCAAAACCTTGCTGCCAAGAAGTGAGCCACAGCTTTTAGCTAAAAGTAAGAAAACACACACACTGAAGTAGGCTTTTTGGTAAAGCTACAAGGAGATTTTCAGGCAATGAAATGCTAAAGATCTATCAACAAAGGATGCTGGACATTTTCCTGAACACAAAGTTGTGGATATTTTTGGATACTGGAAATCATGTGATTGCCTAGGAACACAGAAGAATGCCATACAAACACCCCGGGCCCACTGGAAGAGAAAACTCTGTGAAGTCTACAACTGTGAGATTTTAAGATACTTTTACAGAATGTACCTAATTATGTCATTCTCAACCTTAAGCCTACATGAACACATATCAGAGCCAACATCTGTACATCACACACACAGGTTTAACATCTCACTAACGCCTGTGAGCAGAAAAATAAAGTCTTTGTGTTAACAAAAGGATCACACAGCTTCCTTCAGATGGGACCCACTTCTGTGTAGCCAGACCCTTCAACTCTGAAGCTTTTAATAAGCCACTTGCCCACGAATTAACAGAGATTCTCCAATTCCATCACTAAAAAAGAACGTGATTTCAGCATCGCAAGAGTAAATAAAATAGTAATCCTAGTGCTATAAATTATGCATTTTTCATCTCAAAGGACAATAAATAAAGCATCTTTCATTTCTATGAATCCTGAAGCAGTTAACAATTTATACACTAGCATGTGGGAATCAATTGATTCATCACTGAAAGCCATCCTGCTCTGGGATGCTGTGGTATTTTGTTAATAGCACACACAAGTCTTATTGAAAGATGAGAAGCAAGGAAAGGTTACTCCAATGCTTTACGTTTGAGAGATTTGAGGAGAGGTGATAGGACTCTAATTGCAATTCACCCATAGTAAGAGTTCTCTCTCATTTGAGCTCAAGACTTCCCAGATACAAAGGTATAATTCTTCAAAGGTCATTGTTAGCATACCCATTTCTTCTCATCTGGATTATTACAATACACTTTTTTGAAGCAAACATTTACTCACATCATTCAACTATTGAAATACCTTGTCACTCTCCTTTGCTTAGTGTGAAACTTCTTAGTATGTCATGAAGGGTTCTCTACCTTCTAGCTGTTGATTTTGAAAGATCCTCCATCATTCAATAACCCTGAATGAGTTACTCTCAACTGGTGGGAGAGAAGGATCCAGGGTAAAGATAAGGTGACCATATACCTCGTCATTCAAACTGAGACACATATGACAGTGCAAGGAACACACGGCAGTAATATTTACATCAGAACAACAAGAGTAAACTGGGAATGTCCAAGGCACACTGGACTATGGGTTTACCCCTGTTAAGGGAACCATCTCAACTCATCAGAGTTTCTAAAAGGTCTGTGTAGGAGGTCATAAGCAGTTTGATAAAACATGTTTAAGATTCCTGGTGCCTTTGCAATAGAATTCACAGCTGAATAATATATTTATGGCTGGCTTGGCTTCTCTAGAAGACTGAATGAGAAAGCATTACAGGAGTTTTGAGTTTTGAAAGGCTGGATAACACTGTTCTAGAATCAGCATGGCAAAATTCTTTCTGGAAACCCACCAAGCTCTGTGAGCTGCACGTACAGCCATGTGGTCCCACTTCAGTGCTCCTGAAGAGAGCTGGCATGATCAGAAAGAGGAGCTCTTCTCCCAAGCCCTTGTCTCTGGCACTGAATGAAATTCTGGATGGGTGCCAAAGGTGTCACAAAGGTTGTATTTTCCTCATTCACACATTAGAGATGTAACATCATTGGTGATGACTAGTACCAAGGGCCGTAGTTTCACATTCCATGCCAAATATGGCATCTCCTTAACAAACTAGGCGTCTCTCCCTATATTTTAGACCCTGGAGTTAGTTATGATCAAATAGGAAACATTTCATCTACTGAACTATTAACATCACTCTATAAGTATTTACAGTTTTCTTTAAAAAACATATTTTCAAATACATATTCAACACTGAGACTCTATAGTACCACAATGCAGCAGAAGACTGACTTGGCGTCTGAAAAGTACCTTAAAGCTCCTTTCCCCAGCCTTGAGCTCTGTTTGTGTAAGAGTTAGGTTTTCTGCTTGTTTGGTTTTAACTTAAAAAAAAATGTGAGACTCCCACACAATAATGGTGGGAGACTTCAACATCAATGTTAGACAGATCAATGAGACAGAAGATTAACAATGATATCCAGCACTTGAACTCAGATCTGGAACAAGTAAACAAACATTTATAGAACTCTCCACTTTAAATGCACAAAATACACACTCTTATCAGTACCACATCACACCTACTTACAGGTTTAAATGAAATATTGGTTGGCTGCTTGTTTGTTATTTTCTTCCCTCATTGTTTTTCATGTCTCCATTATTAAACACAATTATAGGCATACCCGTTTTTAGACTGCATTCTAGCCCGGGCAATAAAGCAACACCCCCGTTCTCTCTCCCTATTCCTCTTTCTTCCTCTCCTTCATTCTTTTTTTTTATTATTCTTTTTTTTCTTTCTTTTTTTTCTTTTTCTTTTTTTTTAATAAAAAATTAAATTAAATTAAATTAAATTAAAAATGTGGCCGGGCACAGTGGCTCATGCCTGTAATCCCAGCACTTTGTGATGCCAAGGCAGGCAGATCGCCTCAGGTCAGGAGTTTGAGACCAGCCTGGCTAACATGGTGAAACCCCGTTTCTCCTAATAATACAAAAAAATTAGCCGGGTATGGTGGTGTGCACCTGTAATCCTACCTACTCCGGAGGCTGAGGCAAGAGAGTCACTTGAACCCGGGAGGCAGAGGTTGCACTGAGCTGAGATTGCACGACTGCACCCCAGCTTGGGAAAGAAGAGTGAAACTTCATCTCAAAAAAAAAAAAAACTGTAATATAAACTCAAATTGGGCTGCACTCTGAGGTATATGAAAGCACATACCCACAGCCCACAGAAAATAAGCTGCCTCCACGCCTGCAAGTCTTTGACTTTGCAAATATTGACAACGTCAGCTTGTAAGAGCCTTTACACATGTACACATTCAATCAATACATGGATTGATACTTAGAACGGATCTAGAGGCAGTTTAAAAGAGCAGTGTTCAAGAATAGTAAGGAAGAATGATTTGTTTCTAGTCCTGGTTTCTGAACACACTGCAGAGCTCAGAACAGAGTAGGTGTTCAATAAATATTTGTTGAATAAGTGTTGAAAGAACACCTATAAATCTTTCTCTTCTCACAATGACTCAAACACATAAAGCAGAATGATAGCCCTTGGGCTAGGAAGGTTGGCCTGCCTGATTCCAGGTGGGAAGAACACAGCTTGGCTGCCTCTGCTTAACCTCAAGCTCTTAGCTTTCCCATAGCTTTATTAGACAACTCATCTTTCCCTCACCCAAGACACATTCAGGAATATACGCATATCCTAGGTTGAAAAAGTAGTACTCTACACAGGAAAGAGTCAGCTGTAATGGCAGGCCATGAATCAGGAGAGGGCAGCTGGTTTCCAGTATTCACCCTTCCTTCTGTGAACCTAAGTAACCTGCTGAGGCCAACTCTTAAAAATGCTGGCTAATCCACATTGAGCCTATCTTGGCAAATTACGTGCAGTTCAGGACCACCATGATTCTGCTATACACATTCTATTCTGCTGTACACAGTGACACTGTGCCTCTCTACTCACTGAAAGCTTTCTTGATCAAGTGGAATGAAAGACAGACCCCTAAGAGTATACCACTTGACCAAGAACAACTACTACCACCAAAAAAGAAATCGGCATTAGCTTAGAGAGGAAGTTTTTACACATCTGGCATTATTTGGGAACAAGGTGTTCCAGATTTATGAATCTGCCAGAGTTTAGGAAATGGCAGCCTCTGTATGAAGAAGATACGGAAGCGACATGTGGTAACTAAGGATGGAAATCACATCTGTGCCAGGAGGAAGCGGGGGCCAGGGACAGGACAAGAGAACCAAACCCCTAAGAGCTCATCAAGAGAATGCAGGGAATTCTGGGTTTCTCAGGACACAGAGGGATTTGGGTAGATTTCACATGAGTCTGAAATGACAGGGTGACTCCCCAATAACACTTGGGAATCAAGAAACTTGCAAATTCAGGGCTAGAACCCAGGTGCTTTCAACCAGTCAGCAGCTCTTTCCAAACATCATTTTGCCCTTCACATATGCGATAACACGCTCTACAAAGTTGCCCAAGTTTGAGAGGAATTTTTAGAATATAACTTTATAAAGGACAGATGTGTTTTATATTTACATTTATGTAAAGCACACGTATATGCCTGTGTATGAGAGAGAGAGAGAGAGAGAGAGAGAGAGAGAGAGAGAGAGAGATGGGGGGCTTTATATAACTCACAGCACGGGTTTTATTTTCTCCCTTCTGCATCTGTAAGCTTATTTCTAATCAGAGAGCCCTTTCACAACACAGGCAGCTGAGGAAGAAGATCAGCCCTTCAGGGCTTCGGGGCGAGCCGGCTTGTTTCCACTTGCTACAGAGGTGAAGAGCAGTGGTGCTGCCAGCTGCCCCGACAGTGACTCCGTCTGCCTTGCCCCCACCATCGCCCCGGGCCGTGCCCACACCTCCCCAAGCCAACTGCTGGGCTTCTGAAGGCACCCTGAGATCCCAAGCGTTACCTGGCAACTGCGCACCTGTGAGCCGGGTCGGCCAGGCAGGTGGTGCTAACCTGTGTGTTCAGGTCTGAGGGCGCCCAATGCATTCGCGTGCTTCCTCATTACAGCTCACTCCCTCAGCCCAGAGCAAAAAGAGCTGATTGTTTTCCTTCTCGGTTTCCTAGAGACAACAGATGCACTGATTAGCTCTCTCCATCAAGTGTTCAAAAAGGCCACACTACACAACACAGCATTAACCTTGAACACGGAACTCTTAAGAAAGCGCCCAGTTTTATTTGGGGAAAATATCTCTGCCAGCAAACCTAATCCTTAATTTGGGAAATTTAAGGAAATAACTCAAGAGTAGTTCATACTAAATAATAATGCACGGATATAAAAAGAGAAAAAAGTTATGTAACAATTATGCTTTCATTTTGTTTGGTTTTGCTTTGCTTTGATCTCTGTTCTTCCCCGGTCTGTTGCCACCAGAAGAGGAGAGGAGAGATGGCTCTGGGATGGGCCTCTCCAGCCATTTCAAGGAGCAAGCAGCAAGCAGCTCAGGGTTTGACCGGCTGTGACTCTCCCCTGTATCCAGAGTTCCCGCTGCTGGCATGGAAACCTGACATGGACCTCACTTCCTGTCTGCTGACCTTGCTTGTCTCAGGCACCATTTTCTGGAAGCAGCTGAACAACTCTAAGGACAGAGAACTAGGCTGCTGCAGTGCGGCTCCTTCCATCGCCCCAAGGGGCGTAAGCCGGGCAGGGAAGGACGCAGTCAAACATGGTTGTCTGTACGCTGCTGGGGCAACCCCAATAAATATTTTGTAAATGTTTTCTCAGTCCCCCTTAGTGCATGGTTCCATAACACTAGCTTTGTAGCTGTAGGAATTGATTAAGTTACATTAAAGATCTGACTTCCTTTATTACGTTAGTTATCTCTTCTTTTCTCTGCCCTTATTTTTTCCCCAGTTGTTGTTTCTGTCCTCTCTCTTTCTACCCACATGTGACTTTTTCCTTTTTTTTTTTTTTGAGACAGAGTCTTGTTCTGTTGCCTGGAGGGCAGTGGCACGATCTGGGCTCACTGCAACCTCCACCTACAGTGTTCAGGCAATTCTCCTGCCTCAGCCTCCCGAGTAGCTGGGACTGCAGGTGCACACCACCATGCCTGGCTAATTTTTGTATTTTTAGTAGCGATGGGGTTTCACCATGTTGGCCAGGATGGTCTTGATCTCTTGACCTCGTGATCTGCCTGCCTTGGCCTCCCAAAGTGCTGGGATTACAAGTGTGAGTCACCACACTGGCAATTTTTTGTTTTAACCCATGAGTTTTTGCTATACTGTCTCTTCCATCCCATCCGCCCTTATCCCATGGACTGTGTGGCCTGAAAATGTCCAAATTAGGTGTTTACACCTCCATAAAATGTGTTTTCTGAATCACCCTGTTAGTTCAAAAAGGCACGAGTATTAAGGAAGCCAAACGCTAAAGTCAGTTAGCAGCCCACTGGCTTCCAAAGACTTTTTATGAGTAGGTAATCCTCCATTTAAAGATGCAAATACTGGTTGCTTTTGTTCTAACCAGTTCCATTTCTTGTGTTTCGGGGGTCATTTCTGAATCACGTTATTCCCTTAAATCTTTCATTGTGAAACTTTGCCGCTAAGAGGGTTTGTTCTCTAGTTACTTTACACGTCCTACTTCCAGGTTAAAGCCTCAGTGGCTTTGAGCTGCCAGAGGTAAGGTGAGACACTCCTCAGAGCTCGTTTACAAGTATCTGAGCGCGATCACGTGAGGTTGCAGGTGACTCTGAGATTCTTCCACCTTTTCTTGCTTCCAGTCTTCTTACAGGGACTCAGATGTTTTCTTGTAGTTGAGAAAACCGTTGTGCTGCTACTGTTGATTTTTCAAATGTGATACTTTAAAAAATTTTCAGTGCAGGAATGGAATAACAAACAAGTTGTTTTTTAAGAAAACAAAATCTCTCCCTTTAGGGGTCTTTTATAGTTTACTTTGTTCCTCAGCACTGGGGTTTTACAAACCTGTTTCTGGCTTGCAATCTCACTTGGAGAAAGCAAATCTCCAGCTTTTGTTGATAAGGTTGATTGTGTTTTGAGTTTTCTTGTTTTAAAATAAGAAACATTTACATGTTTTATGTGCTCTACATATATATAAAAGAAATCATTAGCAGTGCCCAAAGTTAATAGCCTAAGAATGTATCGCATAATATACTGCAGTGTCACTGATAGAGTGAAAAAGATTTAACATAGGACTCAGGGGGAGAAAGTATAAACAGTATGAAACTATTACTACTCCAACTAGTTCTGAAAGAGCTCAATGTGAAACCGACCAGAAAATGATCATCCCACAACCATAAATATAGAACACTAAAAAAGACAAAAGCTCTCCGGCATTGTGAAAAATCCATAAATAAAAAGCACCCCCAAAGCATTTGCTGGCAAAAGTATTTAGTGCGGCAATAAAAAAGAGTATTTGTTTTCTTTATATTAAGTGATTTTTTTATGGAATCTGTACAATTAAACACTACACAAGAACATCAGAACTGGAGTTTTCGTTCAAACCTAATTGAGTACAAAATCAGGAAAATGCAGAATCTGAAGAGGCTATGTGCTTTACATTGCATAGTCAAGGTTACATGTAATGTTTTGTTAAGTAAAAAGTGTCCCATACTGAAAAAAATCATTTTTTGAATGTACATATATACATGCTGACACACAATAGGAAAACAAGATTCTCTTTTATAGCTTTACATTTAAATATAAGAGTTGCATTCTGAGGTAGATAGCTCTGCTCCAAAAGACAATTCTATCAGGCCCACCTTCCTATCAGATATATTTTAGTTAAGGAAGATGCTATTTTATTTCATTTTGTTGATATTTATTAGGCTACATAAGAAAGGAAGATTTTTCTTAAAGGTCAAGTTGTCAGCTCAGAGGAAGCTACAACAGACCTCAGCACTAAGTCCTAAGCACTGAGAATAAGTAGCAGCAAATTAAAGAATAAATGTGACAAATTGCATACAATAACATCTTCATTTAGCAAGTTAAAGACTTCCACATCTTAATAGAACATCAGGGATTGTAATGTTGCTAATGAACCTAATAATGCTAATCATAACAGTAGTGTTACCTTATATGTGTTTTGTCCTTTGATGAGTTCAAGTGACTACAGTGGATGAGTCAGCAGTTGCACCGCTCACATTCATTTTATGGTGTATAGAGGCCATTAGGGCCCCCAGGTGGACAGAACTGCTGGTAATGAAGGCACAGCGACAGAGGCTGGGATAACCTTTGCCTCCACCCCAACACCACTCACAAAGGACTTGCTAGTGCAATGTCAAGTGGAACCATGTGCCCTTCCAATGTCTCAACTCTCCTGAGGAAATGCAAAAGGGAAGTATTATCACTGCTAGTTTGGACCACATGCAGTTTCCAAAAACTGCCTTAAAAATTACCCACATGGATAGCAGTTTCATGTGGGTGCAAACTAGTAACTGGCAAACTTACTACAGATCTTGATCCATTGAGAACAGTTTGCCTATTGCAAAAGGGGGTCCTTAAACTGGTCCAACCCTATTTGTTTTATACAAATCTTTTCTCTCTGAGAACGAGAGCAATTTGAGGCATAGACACCTAGTTATACCAAAGAGTAAATCAAACCATGCCACTTTAGAATTTACAAAGAACTTTTAAGATATTAGGCTCTGTAGCCTCACAATAATCCTTTAAGATCATTATTGCTATCAAGGCAAAGAGAAGTTCAGTGAGTTCCCAGAGATCACCAGGCACTTAATGTTCAAGCCAGGATTCAAGTACAAATCTCCTGCTTTGAAATGCAGTGTTCTTTCCACTTTATTCCAGTGCCTATATCAGCAATTGTGAGTGCCTTTCAAACATCTACAATGTGGAAGGCACCATGATCTGTAATGGTTATATATGGATGGAGGTGGATCAGGGAAAAAGCAAATTTAAAGCTAATTCTCAGGTTTCAAATCTATGCACCAGGGAGGATTTCCCCCATATCAACAAATATAGGGCATTATTGAGGTGAAATGGGATTTAGAGGCAAAGACCGTAAGTGTAAGTTTAAGCTCAGTGTTTGAAATTTTGTAGTATATCTTGGAGGTGGCCAATAGCAACAGAGCTCAGGAAGGAAGCTGAGAATTGGGATGAGATTACCGCAGGAAGCTGGATGAGATCAATTACGGAAAAGAAAGCAAGGGGAGGAATTGCTGTGAATAAAATATCAGGGAACATAGATGGCAGGGAGGAACACACATATTAAGAAAGACAGAAAAAGCGAAGTCTCATTACAGAGAGTGGAAAAATTAGTCTTAAGATAGGGAAGGACACTACATCCTCAAAGATAAAAAGAAAAGACAATGAAATGTAGTAACTGCATAAAGAAATTGTGACCTGGAAGGAAGCAGAACTGAGGAAGTGCATGCTGCATAATCCCAACTTTCTCATTAACAACACATGAAAGAGAAGGGATATATCCTCAAGAGTAACATTTTGGGATGGCTACTGCAGGGAAAATTAGAAGGAACTAGAGATAAATAAAAGCAAATCTGCTTAGTAGGGAGGACCTAAGTGTGTTGAGTGAATTTGAGTATGTAGCGGAGAAATCATCAGAGTTACCAGGAAATCATCCCAAGGGTAGAGAAATAGAAGAATTTAACCGGGTTTAGGAAATATACAAGAAACTTACAATGTAAGGTAAAAGGAATGAGAGATATTTTAACATGACTTGACAAGTTAGCTAAGATGGCTAAACATAAAGTCTAGGCTATAAAGGCAAGAGAGAATGGAAACTAAACAAAGATTTCAACAAATCAGGTTCAGTAGGTATGGGGTAATAGAGTATAAAAATACAATCTGTGTGTTTATTTAGTAGGCTGGACATGCAATCTCAAATTCTCCATTATTTTTTCCTCCGACTTTCATTTTCAACCATTTACGTTATCTGCCTGTCCCTTGAGAACATCTGAGTTTGTAACTATTTGTTAAAACTGTCTCCCTTCTTTACTTCTCATTATCTCCTAAATACCCTTTGTATTAGCTTCCCATAGCAGCTGTAAAAAAATAGCACAACTAGGCAACATAAAACAATAGAACTATATTCTCTCACAGTTCTGAAAACCAGAAGTCAGAAATCAGGGTACTGGTAGGGCCGTGCCTTTTGCAGGTTTAAGGGGAAAACTGTTCCATGCCTCTTGTCACCTTCTACGGGTTGTCACAAGGATGTATCTTTGGGGCCATCATTCAATCCACTTTATGCTTCAACCTATCTTCTATCCACATCCACTCCAAAACACACACACACATACACACACACACACACACACATACACACGTGCACACACATACACACACACGCAATGCCACTTAACCAATCTTCATTAATAGCACTGTTTTCTTCCTAATTTTTCGTTATAAAGCTTTGGTTTTCATGAGGTTTTCTACAGTACTGGACATCACTAACAATTGCAAATGTCTCCAAACACCTCCTTGCTGGACTTCTAGGATCCTACTTTCCTTTTTCATTCTTCATGCCATTCCTGTTGGGCTCGTTCGTTAATACCATCTACTCCCCCATCTACCTCTTAAGTGGTGATGAACACCAGAGAGCCCCCTCTTCTCACCTCATTTTTTACTCTCTGTATAAAGTCACGTTCACAGTTTCAACTACATCTCCGTGTTCACTATACCTCGTCTATATCCAACCCTGACTTCCTGCCTGATTTTTACACTAGCATCACCCAATGGAATTCGCTGTTCCGATGGACAGATTCTGTATCTTCATTGTCTAATGCAGTAACCACTAGCCACATACAGCTACTGAACACTTGAAATGTGATCAGTGCTACTGAGAAGCTACATGCTTAATATTTTTCTTTTAATACATTTAAATTTAAATAGCCACAGTGGTATTGACTATCTTGTTGGATAGCGCCAATCTAGTCTCCTCTACTCTATATGTCGGTCCTAGCGAATCTGCTGCCAGCCACACAGTATGTCTTTCCACATACTCTTCTCTTTGCTGGGATAAGCCACCATTTATCCTTCAGGACTCAGCTCATCTGTGAAACCTTTTCAACAACTCCAGGTTGAATGACTTGACCCCACTTTTGTCTTTCTACAACTCATTTTCAATAATGTATTTATATATAAATATATAAACTTAATTTATATGTTTATATCTATTTCCCTCACTACACCATGAACTCATTGAAGAACAAGGCTCTATCTCTATTTCTTTACAAGCCAACACAGGACCTGGCACTTGCTCATTGAATCAATTAAAGCAATGAGCGACTGCATTGTGCTTAGAAGTCACCCTGCATTGTCTTAGAGATAAAGCATATCAAGTTGCAAATTTTAAAATACAAGGGGCTTCCATTCTCCTACATAATCTCCTCATGAGAATGGCCAGGTAGGGACAATTCAGGAAGCTTTTAAATCTGTGCATTAGATAACACAGAATCTTGTGTTTTGTTTGTTTTGGTTTGATCTTAGTTTTAGTTTTTAATGTTGCACTTTTAGGAGCCTTAAAAACTATAAGTAGCATAAACTATAAGTTGGCTATAAACTATAAGTTGGCTAAAACCTATAACATGGTTAACAGGGCACATGAGCCATTTGGCTGTCACCCTTCAGGTTTAAAGTGCAAATCATTCTAGGAATCTCTCTTTTCTGGAATCTGAAATATAGTCATTTGGAGAATTCCAAAGAGCGATGCATGATTTTTCAAAAACATGCTTTTAAGAAAAGAGAGCTGACATGTTTGTTTTGTTTTGTTTTGTTTTTTGGCCAGAGGAGGAAAGGAGAGAAAAAGAGATATGCTGCTCTCATTTTGGCCATAGGATGTGCATGGGAGTGTGTGCATCTGTTAATGGAGTGAAGGATAGCATTAGTAAAGGGTTAGGCAGGCATGCACACTGTAGAGAAGGCAATTCATGGAGCCTTTTTCTGTTTCTGTGCATTCAGCCCAAACTTCATTGCCTATGGCTGCTCTTTTTATGAAAATTGGCACATATTTAACTGCTATAGCTGTTGGCATCGAGGCTTAGTTTTACCCACAGAGGAGGCATTCATTCACATTTTAGCTATCATTTCCATTAAAGCTTGCAAGCACAAATGGTACCCCATCTAAATGGATAAGGCACAACCAAATAAATATATCCCCTGAATACCCTAAATATGGGGTATCTAGAAACATGGTGGTGATACTTATTGAAAGTGACATTAACTACAAACCTAAAATTTTCCTTACTAAGTATATAGAAAAGCCAAATCATCTTTGTGCAGAAGGCAGGGAGTAGCAATTCCATTAAGATATTACATGGAAAAAAAGCTTCAATCTCATTTTGTCTATTTCAAGCTCCATTTTATTCATATTGTAACTTACAGAATCATTCAGTGAAATAGAGTGGGAGGAAGAATATGGACTACAATTCCTTGGAACCTTAGATACATTTTTCTTTCCTGTTTTATCTATGCTTGCAGGCGACATCTCCTTAATGAGAGTCTTCAAACTTCTTTGCCTTTTAGAAGTATCTCTGCTGTGCCCTGGGACACCAGTCACTGATTTTAGCTTTTAAATATGCATGATATAAAGTAATTTTTTTCCTTAGCACTATTCATTGTTTTACCTGTCTTAATGAGAATTATAAGTTTGATTAATGGGCAGAAAGATTTGGCCACTGTTAAGAGTCCTTATCTCTATTCCTCCCTGAGGCATGATGCTTCCAACAGCCTCTGAATACTTAAGAATAATATCTGCAAGTGAATATTAAAATAAAAGTAAAAATAAAAGTGTGATTGTCTATCCACAGTCCTGGCATTAGTGGTGACCATTTATATTAAAAGAATTCATAAATATATCCATACATTCAGTCATACATTCATGTATTCATTCAACAAACAAGAGGCAGTGTGCTTGGCCCTGTGAAGAGTGTGGAGTGATTTTAGGTTCTATTAAATTAAAATGAGACAGTGGCCGACCATTAAGCTTTACATTATATGATAACGAAAATGGATATGGGAAGGGAAGTAAGCATGGAAGGTCCTATTTGTTCTGTTTTAATTTGGTCGCTAGCTATGTATACTTAATCAAGTAGATAATCAGGAAACACCTGTGTTCAGTGAATTAATAAAAATCTATGAGACATACTTCTGCTGAAACAAATGACCAATCTTGGAATCCACAGGTGCTACAAAAATAACCACAAATAACTAGGCAACTAGTCCCATCATCACCGGGAGGGAATGCTTTGAGTCAAACATGCATATTTATCGCCCAAGTGGCTCTTAAAGGTGAAGTAATCCTTGTAGGTTTACTCATGAGCTCAAGGAAGAAGGATTACTTAAAAA